ATAAATTACTGCGTTTTGACATAATTTATGTTATTCTGGATTAATAGGAAGGGTATACCATTACTACATTTTATTAAAAATTAGATGTCTTTTTCATGGAATGTCCAATTTTCATGGAATTTGAATTTTTTTAATATCTGGACAATTTTTATTTTTTCGAACAAACGTGTAAAATTGACAATTTAGTCCTTGAAATGCAAATACAAGAAATTAATTGGTTAAGATTAAAAGATTTAAGATTTAAAAAGTCTCAAATAAAACCAATTTCTTATGTTTATTTCGACTTCTATCAATGATTGTCAAAATAACATGCTTAGCATATCTAATAATTCTGACAATGGAGAGTTAAATCACGATACATATTTCTCTTGAGAATTTCGGAGAGGCTGCTTCTGTTGATACTTTAAATGAAAAATTCATTCATTAATCTGAGCGATGTTGACATTCCTATCGAGGTACAATATTTACTGCAATTAGATGAGGGATTTAGACTTCCTGCTAGTAAAAATAACAATGATTGAACACAGTTGAATTCATAAAACATAGTGGAAATAATATACATATACATGGTCATCCTGATAAGATTACCAATTTTATTAGAAATAATACAATTACTATTTTTAAAAAATTTTATAAAGAATTTTCTATTAATAAACTTAATGATAAATTAATTTGTAATTGGTTAACTAAAGCATTTTTAAAAGAACATCCGGAAATATTGGTCACTTTTGCTGACAAAGGGAATGTCATAGTTGCTTTGATAAAGACAATTACATATCAAGAATGGAGATTCTCTCGGATAATAATTCATAAAAAACTCGATAAAGATCCTACCAAGAAATTAATTTGTGATTTGCGTTCCTTGCTTGTCAGATGGAAAGGTAAAAACTTTATTGACGATTCCACATATCGGAGGTTATTCACGACTAATAGCATTTTCAGAGCATATGGATTAACAAAGATCCATAAACAGGATAACCCCTTAGGAATTGTCGTGTCATCTATTAATAGCTCATTATATTATTTTTCATTGTATCTGCATAATAACATTAACGATTCTATACTTGAAGTTCCTAGCCATATTAAGAATAGCTTCTATCTTATCGAAAAATTAAAGAATGTCCGTTTTGAGCCTAATTACTTATTGATTTCTTTGATTGTCGTTTCGTTATTCACTAATGTTCCTACAGAACTGATATCTGATAGTATCAAAGAACTGGAAAAGATACGGCCAAGCGCAGACGACGTCGCGCAAATATAATAATATATCTATGAAGTGTGAAACTTCTTTATTCACTAAAACGCGCTTACATGTTTCGGCTCACTTTTGAGTCCTCAGAGACAACACAAATTAACATAATAAACTGAATAAAAATTATCCTATCATGATGAGCTCCCCTACCTCGAGAATTTAAACGCCAAAAAAAGTGAAAGAAAAAAAAGGTACGAAAAAAAGGAAATAATGGAAATAGAAAATATGAAAAACTAATTTATCAAAAATCTTAAGATTATAATTAATTATCCCGAAAATAAGAACGCTCACTCTGATCACAAATCACAAACTCACATATCGTATACATTACTATGAATTATTCAAAAACCAGTTCTCGATATTTTAGCCAGTCAGTATCAGACACAGTGAGTCACTTTTAGTTTTAGTATTATTGAAGCTCTAACAAATGAAAATTTCGCATTGGAACGTTAATCAATTCCATAAAAATAAAAGTTGGAAAGTAATAAAAAATCAGAAAGACTTATTACTGCATACCAACGACACTGACTAGTCAGTGAGCATCCTTATTTTCAAGATGATTAATTACAATCTTAAGATTTTTGAGGATATTGAGTTATAAACAATGGAGATCGAATAAATTGCTTTGTCATTATCATTTTCTTAGTTAAAACAAACTTAGTTAACAAATACCAGCGAATAATTTCATTTCTATTTCATCTCTCCTTTTGTTAAATATTAAGTTATAAACAAATGGAGGTCGAGATCGAATAAATCGCTATTTAAATTATATTTCATAGTTTTTAGCAATTACCAGCGTGTTTTATTATTATACCGACTTTACTAATCCTGTTTTGAAAAAACCGACCGAGACACTATCGTAGTACAGACTCACACCACGCTTATCGCCGCGACACTGTCGTGTCAGATGTACATACAGCCTAAAGTCACTAGATATATAAAATATCACGAAGATCCACCATTTTGAGTCCATATAGCAGCAAATTCAAACTGATATATTGGAATGAATGTATTGTGTGAATGACGAAAATTGAAGTGTTAATCAGTCGTATTTATTTATAACAATAAACATTGTTGTTTGTATTTATTTATTACATTTAACATTGTTTATAGAAACTTTCATCGTAACGCTTCTGCTACTTTTACTTGCCACAACATCATGTTAATAAATAACTACGACTGATTAACAATTCAATGCTTTCCGTCGTTCACACAATATATTTATCCCAATACATCAGTTTGAATTTATCGCTATATGGACTCAAAATGGCGGACCTTTGCGGTATTTTATATATTTAGTGACTTTAATACAGCCCATAGTAGGAATGCCTGGGGTTCAATTTTAGGGATCCACGTTCGTTCTTAGTTATTTTTACATTCGTATCTGTTAAAATCTGATACGACAGATGTTATGTTAGCGATTATAAATATATCGTAGTATTTGTGAATTGTATTGATAGTCGGCCGATGTAACCTCAGTTTTAATCAGTGAAATTTCTCTATCAGATAATCTAGGCTACGTTCGGAAATATCACCCAGGTGCCCCTATGTATTACCTTATCCTTATTTAACATTGAGTGAACAAGGATGAAATGATATACAGAGACACTCGGGTGATATTTCTGAACGCAGCCCTAGTGATTAGGACATTTCAATATTCCTCCATTCGAAGAAAGACAACATTTTTTTAGAGAAATCTCTGAAATACTCCAAGCTTAATTGTAAGGAAGCGGATTGAAGCCTTCAATATATTAGATAAGTTGTAGATTTGAAAAAGTATAATTGCTTACCAATAAGAAAATATACTTTTGAGCTGTTTTTCTTACACAGGTAATGAGATAAATAAGCGAATGAGATAGTCATGGATGGAGTGTTTGTGGTGAGAAGTGTTTTTTATTAGAGATAAGTATGTAATTATATTATCATGTATAATTTAATAATTATAAATAATGTAATAA